AGGGGAGGCATACACATTTTATCAGAGGATACTCAAAGCTTCTAGATGGCATTTGTGAGAAAATAGTATTAAAATGGAGTTTCGAAACTTGAAAACAGTCTCATGTCATAGTGAGCCATGCGACATGAAGTCACCTCTGGTGTGTCCAGCAGTTCTGGCTGACTTTCCTGTGGCCTGGCTCTATCCCCACCTCTGGGCTGTGCCCCCAAGTGCTCCTCTGCCCCTTATCTTTTCTATTTATCCACATCTCTTCAGTCACTCTTCTAGAGTAAGTAGATCCTGTCTTGCTTTCCATTCTAAGTTTGTTCAGAAGCCTAAATCTTTTTTTTTTTTTTAATTGCCAGAAGGCTTATGCACTTGCCAGAGACAGAGAGGAAAAAAGCACTTTCTAGTGGGGTGTGGTTGTGCCACAGTCTCCTCTTCATTTCTCCCTCCTTTTGGGATTTTTTGGCACATGTGCACACGCCTGGCATGTATTTCAAGTTATCAGTGCTGGGAATTGAAATGCAGCTGCCCTTGTGGGATCTGCCTCCCTTAACCACTGTGCTACAGGGCTGACCCACTCAAACCATCTTCAGTGATTCGTTCAGGGTTTATCTTCATTCTCACTTTCTCTCTCTCTCTCTTTATTTTTGACATTGCCGTCTTTCCTTAAAGACTACCTCCTCTTACCAGTTTTTACTTATGGCCAAGTGCACATGACTTTCAGGTATGAAACTTAAAAACTGGAAAGAAAACATAGATAGCTATGCGAAAGGGTAGGCCACTGCTTTTCACCTTTACCCAAATTTGGGGGCATATGTGAAAGCTTGCCAAGTGCCACTTTCTCATTGAGCACATGTCCGCACACATACATGTACGTTGTAGTGTTGAGGATTCACCTGTATTTGGTCCCATTTTTCTAGTTCTTATCATCATGCCATTGCCTCCCACACTGGGGGGGTACTTAGTTTGCTTTATCAAATGTACACACTACTTCCGCTCAGTTAAATAGTGCCTAAAGTAAAGCAACAAACTTCCTTAAGTGCTTGAAATAAAACAAAGTACTCTTGATAAAACCATATCAATAGGCTTTTGAAAGTGCAAGGATCATTTAAAAAAAACATTTCATAGATGAGTGCAGTTGTGGGTAAATGACTTGCTTGGGGAGATAGACCTAAAACAGAATCCCAGCTTCCTTCACTTGCCAGTGGGGACTTTTTCCCACATGCAAGGCCCATAGAAGAGACGGCTCTGCTGTGTTTGTGTATAGAATTGTTTCAGAACGAGTTGCTAGGAGTAAGCTTGTTCTGAGAAGCCTAGCTATGTACTATAACAGTGTCCCTGTAGTTTTCATAAATCAGCAAATAAAAAAGTAAAAAGTACTTTTGGACCCAGTAAAGGAAATAATCAAACAATAGCTTA